ATCAATAATTGTGAGCATGCGTTTTTTTTTCCTTTCTTTCTTTCTTTTTCCTTTTTTTTATTTTTCCAATTTTTTTTCTCTCTCTCTCTCTCTCTATCTCTCTCTCTTTCACTCTCTCATTTTTTTCGTGTGTGTTTGTGTGTCGAAACACAGTAGAGAGGAAGGAAGGTTTAAATTTTAATTTTGTGTGTGTTATCATTTTTAAATTTCTACCGTGATTTTTCCAGTTTTTTTTTCTAAAAAAAAAAAAAAAATTATTTTTAAACGTCGTTTTTTATTATATACACAAAAAAAATAATCGGTGAAAATGGCGTCGATTAGAAGAAAAAAAAACATTTCGGTTTTGTAATTTTAAGATTTAAAAAATATCGTTAGTAATTATTATTATTATTGTGGATTTCTTTTGTTGTCTCTCTCTCTCTCTCTCTCTCTCTCTCTGAAGATTGATATTATTATTTTTTACGCGGATTGAATATTTTCGGTGAGTAAAAAATAGAAAAAGAAATTTTCCGCGTTTTTATTAAATGATTATTATTATTATTAAAGTTTTTTGTTGAATTTGGAAAAGGTTCGATTTCAGTCTTGGGAAAAATGAAAAACAAAAAAAAAAAAAAAATGTCCGCGACGATTTTCTTTTTAACGTTATTATTATTAAAAGTAATAAAATTTTACTTATTTATTTATTTTTTTGTTTAGGGTGATCCTTATCGAAAGGATGATATTTATTTAGAAGATGATCTCGAGGGATCCGGTATCGGGAATAGGGAATTCAATAAGGATGACCTTGAATCCAGTGGATCCGGTATAGGGATCGATGATGAAGACAGTGCAGGATCGGGAGAGGAACGTAAGTAAAATGCTAAATTTTTTCTTCTCCTCCTACTCCTTCTCCTTTTTTCCCTTTTATTTAAAAAAAAATGGCATAAAAAAGAGGAAAGGAAAGGAGAGGGAAAAGGATACTGCGAGAAAGGGAAAATATCATGGAGAAAAAAAAAAACTCCCCGTCGCTATTTATATCTAATTTAATTTTTTTTTTTTTGCGTGAGTTTCGTGTAAAAAGGCGGGAAAGAAAAAAAGGAAAATTTGCAGCCTTTTCTTATATTTTCTCTCTCTCTCTCTCTCTCTCTTTCTTTCTCTTTCTCTCCTTTCTTTAAAAAATTATTTCTTCACATTTGATTCGAGTTTGATTTGGAAGGTTTAATCACGCAAGGCGAATCCTTAACATATTAAAAAAAAAAATAAATAAATAAATAAAATTTTTAGGCGCGTGTTTAAATGTTTACGTATGAGTATGAAGTAAACGTGGAGAGTGTAGATTTATTTAGGTTCTTAACGGTTCTAAACAGGACAAGATGCCTAAGTTCTTCTGCTAGACTTCTCGTACAGTTTTGTACGTCGGTAAAATAAATAAATAATGGCCGTGCAAACATCATATTTTTTTTTTTGGGGGGGGGCTCGAATAGGATA